TTTTACAAAATCTAAAACAAACCAATAACAAGCAGAAAATTATATATTCATACTACAAGTTTGTTTGAGAAATAACAATAAAACATGTACATACACTAATGAAATACATATACTAAAAAACCCATTAAATGATAATAAAATTGACATTTTAATGTTAAAATTAAGAAAGATAGATTGACTTACAAAAAATGACAAAATCCATAATAAATCAGAACACAGATATTATGACTACAAAAAAGAAAGAAATATTATTTGTATTGAGAAGTGAGGGATGTTTTGGGGGTGGTTACTTACAGTTTGGGAGGGGAGAGTTTGTTTAGATGTAGGGGTGAGGAAGAAGAAGGAGAAATAGGGGAGGGAAGAGTCAGTAGCATGGGTGATATATTAACTTTTACCGATGGAATCACCGACGAAACTATTCTGTCAGTGATTCCATCAGCACTTCTGTTGGTGAATAGGTCACGTCATTATACTGAGATCCCGGTTTGAATACCTTTGTAATTCTATCGGTAAAATTGCACCCAAAAACTTCCACGTTATCACATTATGTTTTTTCAAAATTAAATAAATTTTGTCTGGAATTTTGTCGATGCATATTGACAATATTATTCCATCGGTGTATACCGATAAAATTCCAGATGGAATTAGTCTGTTGGTATCTACCTGAAGAATTACATCCGTCGGTAAATATCACCACAAATTACCGACAGAAACATTATGTCAATAATTCTGTTGGTTTTAGAAGAATTTCTAGTAGTGTCATTTTTCTTATGATTTTCTTGAAATAAAGACATTCTTCTTTCGAATGGTATTTTGACAAAATATTTTGATCAAACTCCAACATGCAAGGTTAAGGCTACCCAATCCTGAAAAATTAAAAAAGTTAAGGTTACCCGTCGGTAAATATCACCACAAGTTTTGATTTTTGTTAAAATGGCATAAGATGACCAAAGAAATTTTGAACTCACATACAAAATTGAACCTTGTATCATGGAGCTAATTTTTAATGGTATGCATATTAACTTGTAGTGGATTCGGTAATTATGAACTTACAAATCATGGTTCTTTGCAAGTTCAAATCATTATATTGGACAATATCAAAATTTATCGGTTCTAACTAACCTTACATGAAATAAAAAAATATCATCTTTATTTATTCCTTTCAGAATTTGTAAACTATAAATCTTTGCAATCTCAAACTAGGTAAGGATAGATGCATATCATCTAACCTCAAAACATTGAATAAATATTTTTAGATTTTTCATGAAAAAATCCTCAATGACATTTAGTAAAATTTTGATGAATCTGAGTTGACAAATAAATAATTTTTTGAGCTATAATAGCAAGAAATCTTAGTTAAACCCTGTAATCAGGAAGCACCAACAAATTCAACCTTGTCATCAGAAAATCCAGTTAACCCTGTCATCAGGAAAGACTAATGTCAACATTGCAATCAAAAAAGTTCAGGAAAAGCTTGAGCAACCCCAATCATCATAAAAAAGAGAAAAGGATGAACCCTACCATCAGGAATTCTAATTGTTCATCCTTATGATTAGGGAGAAAAGGGAGAAAACCTCTACTATTATAAAATTCTCAAAAAAATAAAAAAGTTTAAATCTTATCATCAAGAAGGGTCTTTATATTATAAAATATTAGGTTTACATATACAATAATTTAAATACATATAATAAGATAATAAATTACAAAATTCTACCTCATACAAGAAGTATAGAGTATCATCAATGAAATCACTATTCTAATAGTAAATATAAGGGAACTGGAATTCATAGTAGTGTAGATGATCAATTTTAGCATGTAATTATACCTTATATATAATTCACTTCATATGAATTACTTCTGAATGTTTTGTGTTTCTTTACTATAAACTTCATCATTTTGTCCAACTCCACCTTACATAATTAGTTCTTTCCAGCATGACCATCCTTCTTTTATTATAACATTTCCTTCTCTCTTTTTTGTAATCCTTTCCAAAAATACTAACAAAAATATATTTTTAAATAAAATGAAGAAGTGCCAAACACATGCATAATACTCCAATAATATATGCTCTATTGACTATGAGTCCAACCTCATATGTCCCAATTGATTTTTTAGAAAAACATCCCAATTAGAATCTAAAATTATTTTAAGCCATTTCTATTCTTTGTCAGGTACAATATCACCTTTTTTCATAATTTTAATATGCATTTAGGATATAATTTCACGTTCCTACTACATTATGCATCCAATCTAAATCTTTTTTTTTTTTTATTTTCTTTTTACCACATATCAACTAAAGCATCATATATATATAACCCTTTTAATTTTCACACTCCTAATTAATTTCCTAACATCACAATATCTTTAATAACCTCAAGCATTTACACAATCTACCAATTCTTATAATTTCACATTTTCAAACATAATCCAAGATTCTAAATATTTGTCTTCACATGAATCATATCCATGATAAAAACCTTTCATTTATCTTACCAATAACATTTAAGTATAATAATATCATTTAAAATACAACACATTATAATTTTATATTCATAATAATATGACTTGTAGAGGATAGATCCATGAACCTATATTCATCTATAAATATATTATGATTTTATACTAATTTTATTATTATTATTATTATTATTATTATTATTGTTACGATCTTATTACTATTTATGATGTGTAGCCATTCCAATTAAATGAAAAAGGACAGAATATTTATGATGTAGGGCCATCAATCATCACACCTTTTGTGAAAATCAGACTGTAAGGTACAGAGATGCATTATGCCCCACCACGCTTTTGGATGGGATTCATGCATTTTTACGTCAGGAGATACCCAGTAAGAAGGCATCATATAACACCTCTTTTTTTTACTACTTTCTATATTTTCATTTTCTCCATTTAAATTACATCACCAAAAATCGACCAAATCATTTCACATCGTAACAAATCTCAAACAATTACAACATCACCAAAACATCAAAAATCAATGCGGTCCAATCCAATTTCTACATTTTCTTCATTTGCATACATGCCAACAATAATTAACCTTTAGTAATTCACATTATGGTATAATGGATGGCTTTAAAATCTCAATTTCCTCTAATATGGTTTTTAATTTCTTCAATTATTTTCTTAATCATGTAATTCAACCAACAATTAACTAATAATTAACATCATTTCATAATTTCATTCACATAATACATAAACCCCAAATTTTACAATTTGAGGATTTTCAATTCCCCATCAATATTAATCAAGAATAAAAATGGATTTAAATGAACGAGAACCTCTTCCCACAACTGGTTCATCATATCAAGGAAGCCTTTTAAATTCAATTCTAAAGATTTCTCCCTTTTCTTCTAATTTGATCAACTTCTCTCTATATCCCCCAACTCCAAAATCTCTCTCTCTCTCTCTCTCTCACACACACACACACACACACAATTCTCTGCTTTTTTTTTTTTTTTAGTTTCTTTCTAGGATTTCATGTAACTTACACTCTTCCCATAATTAAATTAAGAGAAAATAGAGGAATTTCAGGACAAGAAGAACAAAATTTTCCCAATTCTTTCTCTTGATTCGCGAAAACACAATATCTTGAAAAGCCAGACTTGTGGTTTGGGTTTTTCTTCATATAGCTTTCATGTGACCTGGCTTTATAGATACGTAAAACAAAACAATAAAAGCTAGACGATTTTGGACGACGCAGTTGCTTTCAAGTGGGCAGCGGTTACCGGAGTACTAAGGGCGCGCAGCAGCAATTTTATCATGCTAAGGCCTTACTAGATTTTTAACCCGCGGGTGGGGTTATTTTTTTTTAACAAAATAAAATATTTAAATATTACTAATGTTTTTTTGAAAAAAAATTTAAATCAAGTTGGGGTTAATTTGATTTGATCCAGTTGACTTTGTAAGTCCAAAAATAATATAAATGACTTGTAAAAACATAATTTGATTAAAAAAAATTTAAAATAATATTTTTTTAATATTAAAATAACAACATATTAGAATAACTTGAGTCAACTCGGATTAATATATCAAATCCGTGACCAGAGGTATGAGACTATGATAACTCTATATAAAATAAATAATAAATTTTATAAAGTCTAATTTTCAATCAATAATGTTGAATGATGAAATTGAAAAAAAAAATAATTAAAAGAAAAGACCTAAAAAAATGACCTAAGTTAACCTGTTAAACTCACAATTCGGATTATAAAACTAAGATAACATTGTAGAAAAAAAATTAAAAAAATTATGAAGTTTAATTCCCAATCAATTCAATGTTGAAGGATGAAACTAAAAAAAATCAATTAAAAAAAAACATAAACCCCAATCAAACCGCTAAATCAATTATCCGAATCATAAGACTGAGATAACCTTAGAGAGAAAAAAAACAAATTATTTAGTTTAACGCAATTTAACTTGTCAAATTCATGATTCTAGTTATGAGACTGAGATAACTTCATAAAAAAAAAATGAAAACAAATTATGAAACTTAATTCTCAATCAATCCTATGAGACCTATGTTGAACAATGAAATTTATATAAATTTTTATTAAAAAATAACACAAAAAATAAGCCAAATCAATATAGATTAATTCGTTAAGTACTATTCATAGGTTAGAAGGTCAAGATAATCTCATAAAAATCAAATCAAAATAAATTATTAAACATAATTTTTAATTAAATATATTATTAAATAATAAAATTAAAAAAATTAATTTTAAAAAAAATTAAATTAACTGAATTAATCTATTTGCCGTAATTATAGCATGCTTTCTCCTTGAATCTATGAATTTTATTGTTTGATTTATTATTCGGTTATTATAATTTTAATGCAACTTTCATTAAATTACCTAAGATATTAAATTTAATTAAAATTTTATATTTATGATAAATCATATCTAGTTAAACTGAACGCTAGAACTTTCAACCATCATTTATGACAAAAATGTGTGTTGCAGTGTTGGACTTTGAGTCTTTTGAATCACAACAGGAGAGAAGTTAGATCCTTGTGTCATTTCCGTTTCAGAAAAGCTCCGGTGAGAAACTCCGCAGTACCTAATCTTGTCTCTTACCAATCAACCGGTAAATTAATACCAAAACGTTAGGTATGCTGTAATCAGAAGTGATTAATGTGTAAAGCTCTCTTCAATGGGAAGATTTTTAGTGATTTTTGTATGCTGTTTCTTATTCTTCATCTTAACCAACTCCACCACACCGGCTATCAATCCAAGACACTCCATAAGAGATGGTGAGACTCTACTTTCAGATGGCGGAAGCTTCGAATTAGGATTTTTCAGTCCTGCAAATTCGACAAACCGATACTTGGGTTTATGGTTTACGAAGTCTCCTCAGACGGTTTTTTGGGTAGCGAATAGAGAAAATCCACTTCCCAATAGTTTGGGAGTCCTGAATATCACAAGCGAAGGGATACTTATCATATACAGTAGCACGAAAGATATTGTTTGGTCATCGAATTTGTCAAGAACTGCAGAGAATCCAGTCGCAGAGCTCTTGGAGTCAGGAAATCTTGTTGTAAGAGAAGAAAATGATAGCAAACCTGCCAACTTTCTGTGGCAGAGTTTTGACTATCCTAGTGACACCTTGCTGCCAGGAATGAAACTGGGAATCAACTTCGTAACTCAGCTTGAAAGCTTTCTGTCATCCTGGAAGAGCTCAGAAGATCCTGCTCGAGGTGAATTTTCTTTCCTTCTAGATCCTAACGGGTATCCGCAGCTTGTCTTGAAGAAGGGGAATAAAACACAAGTTAGAATTGGGTCATGGAATGGCTTACGTTTTGCTGCAGAAATAATTACGAAACCTGATTCAATTTCAACAGATGAATTTGTGCTCAACGAGAAGGAGGGATATTTCGTTTTTGGGATCACAAGCTTAGGTTTTCCGAGGCTTACACTAGCTCCATGGGGCATTCCACAGCGCTCAATATGGAATGATCGAACACATCAATGGCAGTATGTTGAAATTGCCCAGCATGATATATGTGAAAACTATTCTATTTGCGGTCCAAATGCATACTGCCAGTTCAATAATTCTCCTATATGCGCATGCCTGGATGGATTCATGCCTAAGTCTCCACGAGATTGGAAGTTGCCAAATTGGTCAGGTGGGTGTGTTCGAAGGACTCCTTGCAGTGACAAAGATCGCTTTCAAAATTATTCACGGATGAAATTGCCTGACACATCTTCTTCCTGGTATAATAAAAGCACTGGTCTCGGGGAATGTAAGGGAATATGTTTGAAGAACTGCTCCTGCACTGCATATGCAAATTTAGATATCAGAGGAGGTGGAAGTGGCTGCCTGATTTGGTTTGGTAGCCTCATTGATACAAGAAGGTCAAATGGGGATGGACAAGACCTTTATGTCAGGATTGCGGTTTCAGAATTAGGTATGCCTTTTATTAATGCGAATGAATACTGATTTTTTAATAGTCTCCATTGTTATTCCTAAGCCAGAGAAAACACTTCACTTCATAGGAAGCATTTAAAAAGGTATAGACTTGGTTTCCCCTACAGTATTTTGAGCACCTTTAGGTTGATTTTTGACATATGAATCTTTTTTATAGAAGTTAAAAGATAATAAATAAACATATAACACAAAAATTTAATGAGCAAAAGTGCTTACAATGTGAACTTCAAATTCCCAGCTTTATTTTCTCTAAAAATAATATTGATAAAGTTTCCATCCTCAAAAAGTTTACAAAATCTTAAATAACTCTACCTCAACTACAAAACAAAATAAATATTTAAAAATATAAATGAAATAATCATAAAATATAAAATAATGCATGAAATCCGAATAAAACAAGAAAAATAACATAATTGGTCTAAATTAGGGCCCAGGGCAAGATTTTGGATACTTAAAAATGCATTGGTTTGCCTAGCATCGTAGGGCAATTATAGGAAAAATAGCCTCCAAAACTTCTGTAAATATAATATTTGAGACAGATCTAACAGCCAAATAAAAAATTATAGCCTTTTAAGCTGTTATTCTAGTCTGGAGTGATCAGTCCTCTTCTTAGGCCTAAACTTGTTTCCCTAGTTCATAAATATATCTTCTAGACCATCCACATAATTTTCCTAAGATAGATCCTAATCTAAATATGGCATATCCATATTTAACTACTCATAATCACTTATTATCTCAAGTATAGCTGTATCATTCTCCCATGTTAAAGAGAACCCGTTCTCAAATTCTATTTCTCCTCCAAATAAGATGTTAAATGTTTGGACATTGAAGACATTAGAAGTTTTTGAGTGATTAGGAGGACAAATCCTATAAGCATTATCATTTATCTTCTACAATACCTCATATGGGCCTATCTTCCTTTCTTTCAACTTTTTGTCCTCACCTATTAGAAACTTGTCACGTGTAAAGACTTCTCATACCACATCACCAACCTCAAACACCACTCTTCTTCAATGAGTAACAAATCAGGCATTATACTTGGCATTGTTGTCATTAATTGTTTGTTTGACTTCCTCATATATGTTATGCAAGTAATCTACCATATCTGTGACTTATAAATTTAGTTGTCTAATAAGGGGAATAAAAATTATCTCCAATAATCTAGAAAGATCTTATCCATAGACTATCTCAAAATAAATCAATTGGGTGGTTCAATTCTAAGACCTATTATAAGTGAACTACACATGATATAATGTAATATCCTATTATTTCAACTTATCTTCGATTAAGTTTTTATAGTAAGTTGTCAAGATTATGATTAGCCACCTTTGTTTAAGAATGATAAACACCGTTAAAGTTCTACTAACTACCCATCCTTCCTCATAAGTTCTTTTAGAAATTACTCATGAACTTTACATCTCTATTCAAATTGATGGATTTAGAAATGTCATGCAAACAAACCACTTTATTGAAGTAAAGTTGGGCTACCCAAGATCCATCCATGGTCTTGAGGGGCCATATTCGAGAATTGATTGCGATCATATTAAAGGGTAAGGCATTTGCTTGGTGGGAGCAATTAAAGAAAACACAAAAGAGATGAGAGAAAACTAGAATCAATGATTAAAACAAGATGAAGAAAAAGATGAGAGTGCATTTCTTTCCTTTTAATTACTTTTAAAATCTATACTAAAGGTTTTACACACTAAAATAAAAAGGTAAATATGTCAATGAGTACATTAATGATTTTTGTTAGCTAGTTTCCAAAAATGATCTAAAAAAACAAAAGAATAGCTGGTGGCAAGGTACTTTAGTGGCATACATAAATCTATCTAGGATTTATTGTGTCTTATAGATGATTTCAGAGGCATATTAGTGGGATTTAATGGTGGAGAAGCAGCAAGTTGCTAGGGATGAAAACATAAACTTCTAGGTATAATAGAATAATAGAAGATATATTAGTGACCTAAGAGAGACCACAAACCAAATTAGGTCAAACCAATAAAATCAATAAGTAACAAGTCAAGGTGGCTTCATTTTTTTCTATTTCAGATGTGGTGAGTTAAGACACCAAATTAGCAAGTATAACAAACTAGAAAGTCGTCTAAGAAAGAATCTACTAATAAAAAAGAAGCCTATGAATTTTGCTAACAACAAAGATGATTTAGACAATGATGGGGATGTTCTGCTTGGACATAGCAGTACAACCCTTCTTATCAGGAAAAATTTGTTAACATCCAAGAGGACTCAAATGAGAATACAAGGTGTAATATTATTTTCTACTTTATATACATCATCAAAGATAAAATTTATTGTTTGATCACAGATAGTGAAAGCTGCAAGAATATGGTATTTATAAAGGCAGTAAAAAAACTTCAACTGGCATTAAAAGTTACCCTAAAAACCAACTAGTATGTGTTAATGCTAACTAGGAAAGAGAAAAAAGTAGATGACAATCTTATGAGGTAAGAGGTGTGCTTGCAAAATTTTAAGGTTCCATGCTGAATGAGTTTCCCCAAAGCTTACCTTCTATAAGATAGATATAATACCAGACTTGATGTTAGGTTCTAGATTACTAAACAACTAGCTTATATATTTTGCCCTAAAAAAACTAAAGAGTTGTGGAAATAAATGGTGGAGAAAAGGTATATGCAAGAAAATATAAGTTATTGTATTGTGCCAGCCTTTTTAGTCCTTATAAAGGATGGGTCATGACATTTGTGTGTAGATAGCCACCCCATCATCTGGATCATAGTAAAATACATGTACCCTATACTACATCTAGATATTCCTAAAAACTTAGGGATTTTGATATGAAAGTTGAAAACCCCAAATTTGTTCTCTTCTCATTCAAGAAGTTATCTCCCCTAAATTCACCTATAATTGTCAGTACTGGCAAGGGACCATGATTACTCTCCTGATCCTGATCACACTCTCATGTTCCCATAAGTCTCTTTCCTCTAGCCTATGAGTTGGTTCTATGATCCACCTTTTCTTGTATTCGATGACAAGCTATTAGACATTCCTTAATTAAAGGAAGGCTCCTCATTCACTTCTTAACCACACTCTACTTCTCAATCTTTTCTCATCATGGTTTGTTAGTGGCACACAACAAGTAAACAAATTCTCTTCCATGGGTTTGCAGCACACAACATGCATTAAATCTTGGATCATTAGTTTTTTATATCAATTGATGTAGGCAGAAGCTAAAGACAGCAAACAAACAAAGAACACAAAAATTTAATGAGTGAAATGGGCTGTAAATGTTAACCCCAAATTTCTTGTTTTATTCTCTCTAAAAATAATATTGATAAAGTCACCCTCTTGATAAGGTTTACAAAACCTTAAATAAGTTAAAAACCCTTTTTCAACTAAAAAATAAAATAAAAATACAAAGAAAATAACCATAAAATCCAAAACAATGCATGAAATCTGAATAAAACAAGGGAAATAACAAAATTGGCCCAAATCGGGGCCTCGAGGCGATATTTTTTATATTTGAAGATTTGGTGGTCTGCGTACCATGATAATTGCTACTACTATAAAAATTTGAGCCCGATTCAATATTTGAATTAAAAATTATGATTTTTTGAAATCATTAGTCTGGTCTTAAGCTTCTTTAATTCCTCTTGAGCCTAGAAATAATTTGTTAGATTATCCATTGTTGAGGATGGATACGCATCTGCTAGTGACATATCAACATCTAACTAAAATCACATGTTATCTTAAGTACAGCTGCATCGCTTTTCATTCATCAAAACTAGAAAGCATCGTTTCTTCTGCTCCATCTTCCCATCTGAACATGCTCTAAAATTTCACTTCTCCTAATTTCCATTTCGAGAATAGCCCTCAGCACCGAAAAAAAAATTATAAGATTTTATTCAACTTCTATTTAAGAAGTGATGTTGAACTAAAGAATGCGTCACTAACAATTCCTCTTTGCTTTCAGAAAATGTTGAGAGAAAAAAACCTGTCGATAAGAAGAAGCGAGCAGTAATAATTGCTAGCTCTGTCGTATTGGTTCTAGGTTTGCTGATACTAGTTGTCTCCTACACAAGGAAAACATATCTCAGAAAAAATGACAACAGCGAAGAGAGGGAACAAGACATGGAGTTACCTATATATGATTTGAACACGATAGCACGTGCCACTAATAATTTCTCTAGCATGAACAAGCTGGGAGAAGGCGGTTTTGGACCAGTATTCAAGGTGAATATAACTCTGCTACTTGTGCAAACAATATGGTAATATTAAACTAAGTTCTGTTGGTTATTTGTGATTTAGGGTACATTGGTAGATGGACAAGAAATAGCAGTGAAAAGGCTCTCCAAAAGTTCTGGGCAAGGAATGGACGAGTTCAAGAATGAAGTTGTGTTAATTGCTAAACTTCAGCACCGCAACCTTGTGAAGCTTCTCGGTTTTTGCATCCATAAAGATGAAAAAATGTTAATCTATGAATACATGCCAAACAAGAGCTTGGACTCCTTTATTTTTGGTTTGAGCCTATACTGATCAATAGATAGCATGTTTTTTTATCATTTACCATTTATCAATTAATGCTTCTATAACAAGTGCTGGTGCTGGACTAACATGGTATAGAAATTGAGCAGATTTAACCAGAAAGAAATTACTGAATTGGACAAGGCGTGTCCACATCGTTGGAGGAATAGCCCGAGGGCTTGTTTATCTTCACCAAGACTCTAGACTGAGGATCATTCATAGAGACATTAAAGCCAGCAACATTTTACTGGATAATGAGCTAAACCCAAAAATTTCAGATTTTGGCCTTGCTCGAATGTTTGGTGGAGATCAAGTGGAGGCCAATACTAATAGGGTAGTTGGGACATAGTAAGTATTCTTAAACTGGCCGCGTTGTATTGCATTTATATGCTTTCAGAACTGAATCTAGCCGATATTATTTTGCAGTGGATATATGTCTCCCGAGTACGCATTAGATGGACACTTCTCTGTGAAATCGGATGTCTTCAGTTTCGGTGTCCTAGTTCTGGAGATCGTGAGTGGAAAGAAAAACAGGGGATTTTGTCACCCAGACCAGAACCTTAACCTTCTTGGACATGTAAGCTTTTGTATAAACATGTTAATATATAATCGTGATGAAGAGAGCTGGTATCAAACTATCCAAAGAGGCACATCCAACAACAAGCCATAGCATTTTCTTCTTGATACTTCTATAGTTAACTGAAAAAAGATATATTCATTGCTGTTATGCTAATCAGAATGATCCATCCACTGATACAACGTGTTGTTTTGGAAGGCATGGATTCTTTGGACCAAAGGAACACCATTGGACCTGATTGATGAAGGTTTGAGTGATTCGCGCAATCTAGCTGAAGTTTTAAGTTGCATTCATGTGGCTTTATTATGTGTGCAACAGCGACTAGAAGATAGACCAACCATGTCGACTGTGGTTGTAATGTTAGGCAGCGAGAATCCATTGCCTCAGCCTAAGCAGCCTGGTTTTTTTATGGAAAAGAATGCATCTGAAAAGGACAGTTCATCAAACAAGCATGAAGCTCATTCATCAAATGAGGCTAGTCTGACATTATTAGAGGCACGGTAGCCTATCGTCGATTGACAATGGAGTTGAAGCTGGAAAATTTCATGCTTTCAGATATGCAGTGACATCTGTTCCTGCTTTCTACCGTCACACCATTCCATGACAGAGTGATTGGAGCTAAATGATTTCAATATTCGTCCTTCATGTCTATAGTTGTTTTGTTTGACAAGTCTTCCTGTATTGCAAAGAGGATTGCACATTTGTTTTTTCGTCTTTTTTTTTTCAGTTCATGCTTTGTCTAGTTAACTGCATGTTATCAGGTCATTATCATATAGGATAACAGAAACCTTGTTGTTGTTGTTGTTGTTGTTGTTATTATTAAATATTTTGGCCTGCCTGTTTATTTTAAGCTTTCCTGTTGATTTGAGTCTTTGCTTTCCTACACTAAAATCGCACCTCAAAGAAGCCTAGTCAAATAAGAAACAGAAAGCCATAAATTGCCCAATTGTTTTTTAATTTTTTCTTTAAAGTGGTCTAGAACCCCTCAAAATCAGTTAACTATTTATCCAAAGGAAATTAGGGCATGGAATACTAGCTCAAAAGACTTCACCGTTGCTTTCGTTTCGTAAAGAATGGAAGAAGAGGAATTTTGTTATTTATGCTTCCAGAAATGTAGTGACATCTGTTCTTGTAATGGTAGCCTAAGCTAGAAATAAATTATTTATTACCTGCCTTATGGTGTTTATAGTTTAATTACAACGTCTTTCTTTAGGTTTATTCAATCACTTATCATCAACAGCATTTAAAATGATAAACAAACAAATATAAACATAACTCTGTCATGAACATACGCAATTGTCCGATAGACACAACTCTTTGTTTTAATCAAACACGACTTTACTTTAAATTCAATTTCTCATTCTCCCATTTTCTCACTTTCATGTAAATGAAAATTATCAAATCAAAATAAACATCGAAGCAGAAATGGGGGATATAGAGAGAATGCTAGTAGAAAGCCTCTACATCACACAGAGTATCTCTTAACTTCGAATCTTACTTTATGAAAATTATCGGATTCCATTAAAAGGTAAACCCAAACCAAATCTTTTTCCATTAAAGATACTGGTTTCTTATGTTTGTTAGTTTGATCTTTATAATTCTCATTTTGTTTAATGATTTGTTTACATTATTACCTCTGCATCTTCTCTATATTCTCAGCTTGAACTTTCACATCATAACTAAATTTGTAGTCAACAGGAATTGGAGCTAAATCCATGTTCGCTGGGGAGATATGTATGGATTCCAACATTATAGGAAATCTGTGTATTTTCTTGTAAAAATTATTGTTCGACTTAGAATAAAATTCTAAGTAGAATAGGTTTTCTCACTATACAGTATATATAATTGCTAAACAGATGAATAATACAAGAAGCAAATGTTAGGTTGGTTGCTATTTTATATGCAACAAATGGATGACACCAACCATTGACTATTGACAGCTACTATTGTTGAATGAGTTAGAGTTGGTGGCCACCAATATTGACAACAAAGCAAGAAGAATCTTCATGAATGCTTATAAATAGAGGCATGTGTGAGAGAACAAAATATGAGAGAGGAAATAAAGCTAAAGAGGTGAGAAATGGAGGAGAGAGTATGCTATCAAGGGCAGCAAGCAATAACTACCATCGCACCAAGCAGTAGCTACCATTGCAGCACTGCAAAGAGAGAAATAGAGTGAGGTTGAGAGTTGTCAAAGAGGGGATGATTCCTCCTCCTCTATTGTTGTAAATCTTGTATTCTCCCTACATAATGCAATGGCTTCCCTCGTGGATGTAAGCAGTTTGTCGAACCACATTAAATATTGTGTCAGTGTGTTTGGCCTCTAATGAGCAAATATCAGAACATCACCGGTCGTATTTCCCCATAATTGGTATCAGAGCACATGGTTCAAAGTGGTGTTTGATTTTGCTCAAAAATGAAAGTTGTCAAAATTGTGTTTTGACCATACCACTGTGTAGAGGAGAAAGAGACGAAGCCACTGGTGAAAACCACATCGAAATCGGACGTCGAAAACCGCCGCAAGCGCCAGCGGGGTGACTGGACACGCGCACAGACGCGAGACGCGCGCCACGTATCCCACGCGTCTTCTTCACCTGGATGGGTTGACCCGACCCGAATACCAGAAAATCCAACCCATGCGCGAGATTTGGATGATGATGATGTCATCATGACATCACAGTTTCGTCAGCTTGAACAGGTGGCATGACATGTTAGCACCAGTCAACAGCCACGTCAGCATTGTGGGACCCATTGCCACGTCACCCAACATGAGCCGAGAATGAGCCGAGTCAAGTCAAGCTGGGTGACTGGACATGCGCACAGACGCGCGCCACGTATCCCACGCGTCTTCTTCACCTGGATGGGTTGACCCGACCCGAATACCAGAAAATCCAACCCATGCGCGAGATTTGGATGATGATGATGTCATCATGACATCATAATTTCGTCAGCTTGAACAGGTGGCATGACATGTTAGCACTAGTCAGCAGCCACACCAGCACTGTGGGACCCATTGCCACGTCACCCAACACGAGCCGAGAATGAGCCGAGTCAAGTCAAGCTGAGCCAAGCCGCGAGCCAAGGGACAGGATTCTATGTGGCAGAGTCTACGTGCAACCGGTACTGAGGTTGAATCTAAGCTGTTTATTAGGCCAAAATTGTTTTGATCAAATATTAGCCGCCTAAAGTACGATTTGGATGATTTTAGACTTGTTTCCAGCTAATTTGATCATTTCAAATGCAATGGTATGGTCCGATCATTGAGATTGAGACTAAAAATTAGCGATGGTGAATTATTGAAGAGAGATTATCCGATCAAGAGACATCTAATGGTCATCATGGTGGTTGATGGAGATGAAGAAGAACACCCGATCATGTGGACAATTTGAGGTGGTGATTAGTACTTAAAAGTGCATTTGTATCATGGTTTTATATCATCATTTTGCACTTGAAGTATCAATAACTCCTTAACTAAAACATGTTTTATAATAATATATCTAATAATATAAGATACCTATAATTTATGGTAAATGTCTATTTTTAATGCAGGCCTATCACATAAATGAAAAGATTGATTGATGACTTGAAGAACTTAAATTGCAAGGATAAAGAGATGGCCAAACTTAGAAAAGAGATGTCGGTGCAATCCAAACCGGAACACTATTCGGTAATTGGGTCATATCTAGAGCTATATATCTCAGATTTAGGTCCAATTTATATGGATGGAAAGGTAAGACATAGGCCTACAACTTTCATATGGAGCCCAAGATCTAAAAAGGCCATTATCAAGTCCAAATTGTAGCAACAACAAAGAAGCCCGAATCTGTCTTCCAGCCCGAGCACTGTTCGGTATTTTGGCCATATCTGGAGTTCTAGAAGTCCAAATGAGCTGAAATTTTTACACAAGAAAGCTGAGACAATTGCCTACAACTTTCATGTTTACAACTGGCTCCAATTTGGACGTTATCAATGACGTTTTGGGCAGACAAGAGAAGATAAAGATTGTCACCAAGTCAAAAGTTGGCCACCCACTTATCAATTAGTCATCAAATCAATAGTTCCTAATTTTGGCCTATAAAAGGAGGCATTTGCCATGCATTTAGGCATCTTGGTTTCCAGATCAAGATCATGCTCTTCCTTTCTCTCTTTGTATTTTTTATGCTTTGTTTTCATTAATATTAAGTTTATGCCTTTCATTTCCTTTCCTTTACTTAGTTAACTTTTATGTTCTTATTTTGTTTATCTATTTTGCTTTCTTTCATTATGTCTAGCTAAGTTAATTATGTCAAGGTGAAAAGGTTACACTAATGGTGTAAGAATAAGTATAATGTAAACTTAATATGGACTTTAATGTTTGATACTAACATGTTTTATATTTGTTATCTTGTTCACTCTTTAATACTTTGCTTGTTAAATGACTAATCTTGATTTATGTTGTATAACACTTGGTACAACAAATGCTTGGCACTTTCATAGCCCATAATGTATGGTATAACCGACACCTGAGCTATGAAAGGAACTTGATTTATTGTTAACATAAGTTATAATCATGAATGCTTGACGAGATTTACAAGTATTAGCATTAATTGAATAAGATGACTAATGTAATCATGTTAACAATATATAATCTGATTGGAACCTCCTTTGTGTGTGGTTTCCAATTCAATAATAAGAGTTTATACTATACTTGTTTGATATACCATTAGTGGAACCTCTAACCTTGACATTTGTTATTATCATTGTTTAATCGTTACATTAATATTCCATCTCAAAGTTCTCATCTTCTTCTTCTTCTTCTCCTTCTTTTTCTTTATTATTATTATTATTATTATTATTATTATTATTATTATTAGTACTACTACTACTACTACTACTACTACTACTACTACTACTACTACTACTACTACTACTACTACTACTACTACTACTACTACTACTACTACTACGGTACTATTTTCATATATGTGATAGTTTGTTATGAAACTGTTGAAGACTAGCAGGATGATAGCACAAAGGAATAGTTGGGTTCCATGTGATCAAGGATCTAATAGAGTGGTGATTTCTCCAAGGAAGTTAGATTCGATGACTGTAATTTCTCGAGGGGAGAATTGATGAAGACCTTGATAATGGTAGAGAAATACAGCAAAAGGATAAAGATTGACACCCTATTTTGACTTGGATAGATGTTGTGATAGGATGAGCTG